GGTTGCCTTTTGCTGTTCTACTAAAATTGAAAAATTTGTCCAAGTATTTCGGGATTAATGGTGGTGGATTTAAATGGATTCCATGGAAAACAATCAATATTTGTAGATTAAAATCAATTTAAATGTTTCAATTGAATTTCGTTTAAAAATCTGCTCTAAATTGCACCACATGTTTTCTTACACAGTAATGTTTTTAATTGAAAATTGATATTCATTATTTGCTTCATTTAATAACATTTTTAATACTTGGTAAAGATTTAATTAAAATGAATCTTTTAATTGTAATAATTACAGTTTTTTCTAAGATTATTTTGCAAAGTTCTTGGGTGTCTGTCATGGCTGAAACATATACCACATTAGCACGGCCACACTACGTTTAGTTTGAGTTGAGCTGCTAAAGCGAGGTGTCTTAGCTAAGTCGCACACTTTGGCATTCACTGTTAGCTGCTAAGTGCGCACAGTTTTCGATGCCTTGCTCATCGTGAGTGTAGCAGTTCATGTGTCTCTGCTATATTTCCCTTTACAGTTTATGCGCATTGTACAACTTGGCACTTATACACTTGAGCACAGACAGCAACCACGAAAGCAAGCAGTGTCAATTAGGTGTACAAGCAGTGCGCAAGCAGTTTGGCTAACTTTTCGTACTTTTTAAATTAGGAAATAGTTTTAAAAAGTTTAACTTAATTATTTCTTCCTCACAACTAATCAATATTTGTATCTTTTCTTAATTGCAGGTAAGCCCAAGTTTTATTTACTTAACCAGCCGAGTGAGTATGCACTGAACCTAGTCTTTTTCCTCCACACACCGCAAAAAAAAAAAAAAAGAAAATTCCTTTTTCATAATTTCACATTTGACAAAACAAAACAAAAACAAAAAAAATTCATGCACAAATTTTGTTGGTTGTAAAATAAATGCAAACTTTTTACAAGCATTTTTCATTAATTGAAATTTACTGTCGTTGCTCGTTCTGTCTCTTGCTTGCTCTATCTCTGTCTCTCTCTTTTCAACTAAGAAATGGGAAAATTCTACAAATAAAAATAAAATGATTGAATTTAAATTTCAAATTTCAGAAGAAGACATTTTTCATTAGATATTATTAGATTAGTTCAGATTAGTTGATCAAGTCTATTTCGAACTATCCAACTTTCCAACTGACTATTTGAACTCAGCCAGTTTTAAAGCTGACTCGAAGAAACTTGATAAATATCTTTATTCTGGAGTACATGCTTTAGCCAGGTCCGTTTTAGACGAATCGGCGAACTATATAGTTTAGCTGTCGTGGGAATAAACGTTTTTTCTTATCTATTCTTGTACATTTTATATAAAATATATATAATATTTAAAATATATACCTTATTTAATTTTAGCTAGGGTATTTCAAGCCTCATCAACCTTTGATTTTGTAGCTAACGGTTCTTTATTGTTTTGGCTTTGAATTTAAATTTGACTCATGTTTTTCCCCCATTTATTTGCCTTAATGCCAATCTCTGATTGCACTCAAAACACGTTGACTATTTTTCTTTGCGCTTTTCCTCTTTCTTTTTTCTTTTACATTTTCCCAACTGGTCGACAACAAAAACAACAACAACAAACAACAACAACTTTAGCTGCATTCACCTAATTTCTTCGTCTTGTTTTGGCCAAAAAGTTTTGTTTCCTTGTTTGTGTTTTGTTGTTGTTGTTTGTTGTTGTTGCTTTGCAGGCGACACACTGAAAAAACAACAACAATAAAAACAAAGTGCGCTGCATAATTTGTGCATTGTTTTTTAGCAGGGGCAAGGAGTGGCAAAGGAGGCATGTAATTGTGGCAGGGGGCGGGGGGAGAGTGGCAACATGTGCGAAACTCGCATGTGATTTGTGCTCTTAAATGGCAACAGCAACAACAACAGCAACAATCACGTTGCATGAGCCATTTGTATGCAGATTTTTTAGTTGCATTTTCATTTTTTCCATCACTTTTTTCTTGTTGCACGACGCTTGTTAAACAAAATTGTTTTCTTGTTGAGATTATGTAAGAAAAAAAAAGAAAAGAAAATTAAGCAGGCATTATTTTTATCACAAAGTTTACAAAACTTAATTAGTTGTTAAACTTAAAAATTAAAGATTTTTTAAATTAAATTAACCCAAGAATAAGTTGCAAGTTTTAATGGCAGCAAAGTTGAAAGTTTTCCAATTAAAAACTGCTGCGAAAAGTTCTCAAAACACGTTTTCGACTGCACTCAAAAAGTGTTCAAAAGAATCATATATTAAAAAAAAAAGAAAGAATTTAGACTTTTTATTATCACTTAAAATTATCTATTTCTAAATAGGCAAATTATGCATTTTGGACTAGTAAAACTTAAGACAAAAGTCTTTTGAATTAAACACAATTTTGTGATCATTAAATTTTATACAAACTGAATACATATTTTTGCAATTGACAAACTGAAGTTTATTTTTGGATAGTCGAAAAACTATCGATAACTTGGAAAAGTGTTTTTTAAAGCTGAAAGCTGCAGATTTTATGATAGGAAAATGTGTTTTTGGTAAACACAAATTGTGTTTTTTATTCGATTTATTTTATATTATTAGAAGAGTGTTTTGTATTGTTATCGGAAATCGATTTGTATCGATATACATGAACTGCTTATCAGAATCAGAAGAAAACTCAATTCTCAACTAGGATATATTCTTATAGATGTACAGATTCTTATAGATAAGCAGCTTCGTTTGTTTTTAGGTCCACATTTTCTTCAATCTGAAAACTTGTCTTAGCCTGGGCAAATGTATCTTTCTAATTGTCATAGTTAATATGCCCAAAAAAAAGCATTTGCCAAGTGAAAAGCGCGCCAAAACTGAAAGTTTGTTGTTGTTGTTGTTGTGTGTGTGTGTGTTTATCCCGGATGTTGTGCGGCGTTGACTGAGTGCTGCTAACTGCATTGAATGCAATTGCAACTGCAACAGCAACTGTTGTTGTTGCAGCTGCTGCTGCTGCTGCTGCAAATGGGGTAAAAGTGTTTTTTTCTTTTCGTTTCTTTATTTATTTATTTTATATTTGGGCTGCTGTTTGTTGCAACTACTTTGTGGCACGCTGTTGTTGTTGTTGTTGTTGCTTGTTGCTTGTCACGAGATCTTTCTTCGCGGCTGCCTGCATTTTATTTATGTTTATCGTTGGCCGCAATTTGCGTTCAGTTTGCAACCAAAACTGTGAAGACTTGCCCCCAAATAGAGATGAGGATGAAGATATATATCTTTAAATTGGTACTTAACATCGATTTAGACGGACTGACGCACTATATATTATAGCTGTCATGGGAAGAAGCGATTTAAAGCTGTTTTTAAAGATAAGTTGTAAAATTAAAAGAATCTGAATATTAAAATATTTAATCATTTATTTAACAAAGCAATAAATTCTCAAAAATTGAATTCTCGCTTTAATAACAATATTTTGTGAGTAGAGAAAATAAATATTAATAAATATGGAAAATGTACAAGAATATTTTGAATAATTTTGTTATCAAGTCTGAAAGACCAAAGTTAAAATTAAAAATAAAATGTATTAAATATTTATATATATATATATCTGTTATATATATTCGTATAATAAAATATATAAAATGTGCTGATAAATATATAATATAATATATATAATAATATATACAATAAATACTATATTTAATTTTAGCTAGGGTGTTTCAAGCGTCATCAGATATATTATTTTTCACTAACTGTTTGTTCCCTCCTATTTTGGTATAAAGATGTCTTTATATACATATATATATATATATATATAACATTTCTATATATTTCTTGGCCATTTTTCTTTCTATTTGGCGATTTGTCTTCAACTTCAAGAGGCGTCTGTTGTTTATTTACTATTTTTGTTGGGGCGGAAGCGAATCTTGCCACACAATTAACTGGCTGCAATTCTGCTGCGTCTTGTTGCGTGCAACAAAGCAATCTGACAGTTTTCATTTCATTTTCATGATTATTATGATTGTGCTGATTGTGATCATGATGATTATCTATGCCACATTCAGCTCATCATTCATCATCAGCTTCTCTTCTCTTCTCGCTTTTTGTTTATGCTGAGAACTGGAGCGCATCGCCATCATGTTGCTGCCACAAATGTTGCATCATCTATTTGAGATGACGCTTGGCGCTTTTTATTCGCATTTTTTGTTTGCATATATTCAAGCAGCGGAAGAACCAGAAATTATCGATAGTTTCTATTTAATCAAATATTGTTGAGTTGTAGCAAATTAATCGATTCTTTTTATAACTTGCTATTAGTTTGCTTGGCACTGCTTAAGATCATCATTTTTCAGCAAAAACTAAAACCCAATAATCGATAACTTATCGATAAACGTATATAAAATGCATAAGTTGTATAAGAAGCTGTAGATAATTCTTAGATATAGCAAAACCTGTTTAAATAGTTATCGATGCTTAAACATTTCGCTATATCGAACATTGTGCTCTGATTTATTAATTGATGCTTTAATACTTATATTAATTGATGTATCGATAATTGCGTTAATCGATCATTTTGTTAATTAGTTATGCAATAATTCGATAGCTCGCTTCTTGGATAGTTTTCCTTGATCACTGACACTACTCATTTGCCTGCCTTTTTGAGTCTACACAGTTCAGCTCATCTGCCACGCCCACACACACATCTCTCGCTCCCCCTTCCCTTCCCTTCCCCTCCACTCCACTCACTCACACCCCCCAAAATAATTGGCAAATTCATATATTTTTGATTTCCTACATGGATTTCACTATCTCCCTCTCTTCCCCTCCCTCTCTTCCCCTCCCTCTCTTCCCCTCCCTCTCTTCCCCTATCTCTCTCTCTCTCTCTCTCTCTGAAAATATGACTGCCTATGTATATCTGCTGCTTACTCTCTCCTTCTCTCTCTCTCTTTCTTTCTCTTTTTCTTTTTTTTTTTGCTTTATTTTGCGCTTGAAAATTATCGATACACCATGTAAATTTATCGATACACACAACAAACAAACACAGCTTTAGCCACGCCCCAAGTAATAACGGTAGTCGCAAGCGTGCTTTTAGCAACCCACACATACCCTACTCCAGCACCACCACCACTTGCAACACCACCCCGCCGTCGTCGTCGTTGTCGGGGCTGCGTTTGCAGCCGCATCATTATTACTACTACGATCAATCGCATTCCGGCCGGAGTAGTTTCTGCGTGGATGCCTCACTTTGGCCCGCTGCTGTCAGCGAGGGGCAGCTCTACACGACGACGGGTGCCGACGAGGATCCCGAGGAGGCAATCGACCAGTTCTCGCCAACGCTCTACACTCGCCTCGGCTCGAGTCGTGCCATCAACATACCCAGCAGCAGCAGCAGCAGCAACATAAGCAGCAGTGCCGGCAACAGTCCACAGCATCATCCGATGCATCCGCATCTGCATCATCATCCGCATCATCAGCTGCTGCACCAGCGGCAGCAGCATGCGCAACGTTCCCTCAGCATCGGCTCAGCTGCAACTGCAACTGCAACTGCGGCAGCAACTGCAGCAGCAACAGCAGCAGCAGTGGCAGCTTTTAGTGCGAGTCCCACGGGATTTGTGCATGGCTATTCATCGTTTTATGCCAGTTCACCGGATGCTTTGGCGGAGATGGGTGCAGCTGGTGGCTTTCAACGGTTGCAAGTGCCAAGAGAGGTTGCAACAGCAGCAGCAGCAGCAACAGCAGCAGCAACTGCCGCAAGACGTCCACGTTCGCCGCTGGATGGCGCCACTGTGTTGGCCGTCAACAGGTCGGTGTGTTGGTTAACGGTTCAAAATGCCACAGTGTTGCTCAATGTTCGATTAGCCCGTCTTTAAACACAGCTAAAACTTGAGTAACTCCAAAGTTACAGCTAGTCTCTTGAGTCTCTCGATTAGTTTATTGCTTAAAAAGGTATCGATATGCAAATAGTCATCGTTCATCGAGTTATCGAAGGTATCCGCAGTAAAGTATTAGCTTTTGTGTTAAGTATCGATTAGCTTTTTCTAAAAGCCTAATTGCAGATTGAAATAAATGTGTCTATAATTGATATCGATATGCAAACAATCGTTTTAATAGTGTTAATCGACTCTGGTCACACTGATTGCGACGAGCAAATAAATGCTTACTTCGAGTATAGCAACAAACAGATCTTTAATTCTAATCGAACATTGAGTTTACTTGGCCCACAACTAATCTGTTTAACAGTTATCGAATGTCTCGTTTCTCGATAACTTTTTGATGCACGATTGCAAGTTGTTCCACTAAAAATCACAATTGCAATTGCAGAAAAACTCATGTTTTCATCTTGCACTTAATTTTGGTGTTTTGCTGGTTTTCCACAAAATGTCGCAAATACTTTCAACTCATATTGAAAATGTTGCATGTATTTTATTTGTTTGACATTTTCTCATATTCATTAATGCTTATTGCGGCATGAAAATCGATAAATATTTGCTAATATATCATCTGAGCTTCATTGAACAATTTATTTGTGGCTTGAATAAGTATTATATTATTTTTATATATTACTAATTACTGTTACCTAAGACTAAGAAACTATGGAAAAATAAAAAATGAGAAAGTTATCGATAAAATGCGATGAACTTGATTGTTGTTTGGTGTACGAGATGTTGTCTCTGAGATCAGCTCAGCCATGGTTAACCACTATCTACCCATCACTTTTGACTATATCAACCATCTATCTATAGATTTATCTATATATCGATCAGACAGATCATAGATAAATCTATCTGTTTTCCCATCTATCTATTACAATCTCAATCTCTTCATATAGATATATAACTACTATCTGTGTATCCATTTACAATCTCAATCTCTTCAGGGTCAGACTGACTATATCTTCTATATATCTGTATATCCAGTTGTCTACCACAATCTCAATTTACTTTTGAATCATCCTGCTAATAATGCAATTTATCCTTTGGCAAATTGCACTTTTCCAAACCGCGAGAAGATTTCCGGTCTGAGATGAGTCTTGAGTCTTTGCCACAGTTGATGATGCATCATTTGTCGTGGAGATGGATTCTCGAGGCGAATCCTTTTGCAATTTATTGTTGGCCCTTGCCTTGCTTTTAATTATAAAAAAGCGAAATGGGAAAAAAGTCAAAAACTCATCTTTGGAGCCACTTTAAGACTCATGTCATGTTGTCCATTAAGATTTTGAGCTAAGGTTCTCTGCCAGGAGGCGTTTCATGTGCCTCGTTTTTGTTTTTTTTTTTTTCAATTTGCAACAGCTAAAGAGTTGCGTGTGTGTGTGTTTGTGTGTGGTAAAGTGCGTTCTGAGTTGAATGCCAAAAATTGAAATGATGTCATTTCTAAACTTGAAGGTTTCTTTTCCGTTTTTCGCGTTTCGCATTTCTTTTTGCGCTGCTTTTTGTACAACTCCTCAACGCTGTTGATGTTGATGATGATGATGATGACGATTCGTAATAAAAAAGCAATTTCAAATACACATATAGATATATATATATATATATTTGTTCATATGTATATTTAGAGGGAGAGTGAGTATTACGCAGTTTGACCATTTGGCTGAGAACTGCGCATTAAACTGCGGAAATGTTTCCCTCAGGGCACTAGTTAAGGGAATACCCCTGCTATGCCCCACAACCCGGCACTAGTTAAGGGAATACCCCTGCTATGCCCCCAGTCCCCTCTGCCAGCTACGAGAATAAAAAAGGAATAACATTTTTGCATGTTGCCTGATAACTAAAGCTTAATCTCGCTCTCTCTCTCTCCCTTTCTCTCTCTCTCTCTCTCTCCCTCTCTCTCTCTCTCTCTCTCTCTCTCTTGCTCTTGTTTACTTCTGTCTGCGGCTAATTTTTATTAGCTATTTAGTTTTTGTTGGTTTATCGTTTGGGGTATTCTCTGTTTGAAGCACACTAAAAATTAAGTCGCAATTTGATGTTGTGGAAAAGTGCTCGCTTTTCTGCTGGAAAATTGTTAATGAAAAATTAAAGCAAGGCTTTCTGTTTAATTGTTAATTTATGAATATTCTACAGTAATAATTCTTAGTTACAAAAAGAGTTTAAATCTTGAACAAAAAACAGGCAAGAAAGAAGCAGATTTGACATTAGATGGTTAATCAATCAATCACACTGTTTATTCTATGTCAGTCAGTCAATCATCATAAGATAATCAAGCAGTTTGTTTATAGAAATTCAAGATTTCGACGAAGAACTTTCACTATTATTAAAAAAGACTATTCGATTTATATATGTAATATAGTAGTCTGATCATAAAACAAACTTTAGTTGCGTTTGATTGGGATTACTTAACTTGAACAAAAGGGTTATGCATACAATAACTTATCCTTCGACTGATTGTTCTAATGGTAGATAAATGTCTTATAAATATAGCTTAATAACTGGGGTACTATTTGGCATAACAAGAGATAGACAGACAGACAAACATGGCTGATCAAAGATATATATACTCAATAGGATCGATGAAGTCTCCTTCGATGCATTTAAGTTCACGAGAAAATCTAAGAGAGATTTAGAATATAGAGACTGAGTTCACATAGCAATTACATAATAACATCAATATATCTATGTGGACTCAACTATTGATGCTTAACAGGAATATATATTGATTTTATGTGAAGTATATACTACTATAGGTGCTATGTACTACCTAATTGCAGGTTGTTGGAGTGGTTTCCTTCAATGCATTGCAAACTGGGCAGCAAAATAAAATGATAAAACTCTAAATAAATTAGTATCTAACTCAGTATCTAAGTTGAGCACTGATGATCTAAATCTATATCTGCTTATTGGAAAGATTTTCCTTTAAATCGAGTGCAAGTACAGTCTGCACTCGATTAAAAACACATTTCTTATCCGCATGCGTCGTTGACTGCAACGAAGGCCACACAATAAAAAACAAAACACACTCCACAAATTTATCTGCATATATATATATATATAGATTTATATGTGTGTGTGTGTCAGTCTGCTTGTTTTGTCCAAAAATGCAGCCGCTGGCCAAGTTCAAGGTTAAAAAATCGTTGCTGCATTTTGGGAAACAAAAGAGAAGAATAAAAAGAATGAAGAGCCGAAAAAAAGGGGCTCAAAGATTGCAATTTAATTATGCAGTGCAACAAAAATCGGGACTCTCTGGACACATTGTGTGGCAACCAGAGGAGTAGGGGCGGGGCGAGTGGGGCTGGCATGGGAGGGAGGTATGCGCAAATTCTGTTTAATCGCATGGCAAACAAACACAAGACACAAATGCACACACACACACACAACAATCAACCACACACACACAGGCACACACAACATGTTTGTTGCCTCCCTCCCCGCCCCCACACACACCCCCTGCCTCTTTGCTGATAAGTGAGCTGCGTTTCATTGTCGACATTTGGTTGCTTGCCTCGATGATGTCAGCGTTTATTTTTGGGGCTCGCAACGCCGCGCGAAACAAAACAAAACACACACAAAACACACACGAAAGCCGCAAGCCTTAAAAAACATGCCAAAAATAATATTAAATGTGAGCGCAGGCAAAAAAAAAAAAAAAAAAAAAAAAAATATAACCAGGCAAAAGAAAAAAAGGAGAAAAAAAGAAAAAACCGAAACACACTCGAGTATAACAAATAACAATTACGAGCATCTGCCCAGCAAAAAAAAAACAACAAAACAACAAAATATATATAACAATAACATGCTCTGCGCGTAATGAGAGGCAGTCTCCCTCCCCCTCCCCCCTCCTCCCCATCCCCTCAACTCTCTCTGTTTCTCTGTTATAAATTGGCGTTTGTATCTTGAACCTGTTTTAACGTCCACTCACTAAAGTTACCCCCAAAAAAGCAAAAAAACAAGCAAAGAAAACAACAGAACTCAGGCAAGAATAAATTTCAAATTCACAACAACCAAAAAGAAAAGGAAAAAAGTAAATTAAAGCAAAGTAAAAGTAAAGCTTAAATTTCGACTTGACGAAGTGAGGATTACCCTTAAATCTCTGTTGAGGATTTGGTATCTTGTCGAAACATCCTTCGGCTTAATGTTTGCTTTTGGCCAGGCTAAAAGGACCAAGACTGTTTCTCTTTTGCAATTTCTCTTTGTGTCACATTCGTAAACGTTGCAACTAGTAGGCAGTCATGATTTTAAAAGACCTATTAGCCCACTTATAAATCTACTACGCCTATTTAGTTTATTATCACCTAATCCTCCCTTTCTTGCATTCGTAAACGATTTAAATTCTAATTCCTCTTTGTATCGTATTCGCAAACGTTGCAACTAGCTAAGCTGTGGTAACTTTAATACCTGTTTAAACAATATATTATCGCTTGATTCTCTCTTACCTACATTCGTCAACGTTTGCTTGTCATTTGATAAACTTATTTTTGAACAATACCAATACAAAAGATATATTATTATCACCTCATCTGCTTTGACTTGCATTCGTTAACGTTAACGTGTAATTGAATAAACTAATTCTTGAACAATAGAAAGATCAAGGTTGAGTTCCATTCAGTTGTGTTTTTCGAGTCACAAGCGAAACTATTTTTCATGGCAAATGCTGTAAAAAAAGCGCTAAATCCCATTGCAAGGGTAAACAACGACGCAGAATTTGTTTACCTTGGCCCAGCAATTTATCTGCGTCTCTTTTTTCCAACCGATCTCCAAACTCGGGTCTCCGATCTCTGGTGACTTGTGACTGCCGGTGTCTGGGATCTGTGGAGTCTTCAGTCAATTGGCGTCTTGGGTTTTTTTCTTATTTTTTTTGTATTTTTTTTTTCTT